TCCAGTTATGATAAATTTCAGGATTTCAGAAGACACCTGGGGCAAGAGAAGAAATGATGAGCGACAGCCTATCTCATTGCCTTCATTTGGATTCTAGCAGCAGAGGGAAGGATTGGATTGATGACCCCATGAAATAGAGTCAGAATGTTCTGATGATCCACAAGTATTCTCAAAGGACCATACCTCTTATTTGGTGCTAAAATTGGTTTTAATTGCCTTATACTATTAGAAGAAAAAGGAAAATTCCATCCCTTAGCTAAGTTTCATGCTTTTTCTCTGCCTTTCTCCCCCTTACTCTCTATCTCTCAGTGACACACCATGATTAAAAACAAGGCCATTTCATTTCAGTAAAAAGAGTACTGTAATGAGAGGCCAGGATTAAAGACCAAACACATTTAATTGATCATGGTGCTAGAGATAGGGTTTTTGTTGTAAAGTTGAAAGTTGTCACTTGAAGTTGCCAGACAAATGTACTTACTGAAAGAAATGAATCATTGAAATAGATTAAAGAGAAATGGAAGTGGCCATTAAAGGTATTTTACTGAGGTAACCCTTAGAACAGAGAGAAAAGCTGCTGAGACTGAGTTCTCAGAAAGTGGAATCAGAGATACAGAGACATCCCCTTCTCTCTTTCAACAGCCACAAAATTTCTTTTTTCTGATGTCACCTTCATTTTCTTAGTTTGCTCTACTCAGCCACTGGCAGCTCTGGATTAATTTTCTAAAGTCTTCAGATTGTCCTGCACCCCTACAAATGTGTCCCTTCCATGTCCAGGTCTGAAAATCCCAGGAAAGACTCTTACTGGTTCAGCTCAGGTGGCATTCACACCCTGAACCAATCGTCGTGGCCCAGAGCATGCAGTTCCTTTATTGGCTAAACCTGATGCCACCTGGGCTGCTTTGATCAGCTATTCCCATCATTCCAGTGTTCCAAACAGCAAGTCCGTGAACCTTTTGTGAAATAGGATACACGAGAAAACAGTAAAACAGAACAGAATAATTTAGATTAGTAATCTCAGAATTCTTCCACGATGGTATATTGTTTCTGAAAACTTTCTTTTTAGTTATTGTTATGCATGTATTTCTGAATGTGATTTTGGTCATATAGTAAAATGTATTTCTTAATGTGTGTTGTGGTAAGAGAAAAGAAAGAAAGGAGGGAGGGAGGGAGGAAGGAAGGAAGAAAAACTCACCTCTGCTGCATTGTTTATTTGAATTCTATCAATGCTGTTGTTCCTAGATCAGATGCTTGTGTCATGCATTACTCACAGCAGTAAGGCAGTTTCCCTTGTGTGGACTTTGCCTAACAGACTGCATTAGAGCATGATTGCTCACTTAATTCCTGTGCTCCTCATTCACCCACTTAGATAGTAATGATGTTACCGAACCCAAACACAGGTTCTTTTACCCACCACATAATAGGGCCAACAAAGAAGAAAACTGAAATACCAGGCCTGTGGCAAGGAAAGAGGTTTACTATTATCAAAAGGCAGCCAGATTCAAGAGATGGGAGTTAGTACTCAGATCCACCTCCTCAAAGGGAAAAAGGTAGGGGTTTTTATCTGGGGTTTTAGGTAGGGTAGGGAGAACATGTGCTGGGGTTTTAGATAGGGGAGGGGGAGCATGTGCTGGGGCTTTAGGTAGGGTAGGGGGAGCATGTGGCCGTGCGGTTGGCACCTTCCCACCAGCCTATGTTTGGCCTTGAAGACTGAATTTCTTTTCCCATGACTGTCTGGACTTTTCTGGTTAGTTTTCATCTTCAGGCTGCATTTGGCCTTGTGAGGCTGAATCTTGATGTCTGGACCTTGACTTCCTGGGAAAGCAAACTCACTCATATACTAAGGAGGGACAGAAAGAACTGGTTAGTTTTAAACAACAGTTGATTGTGCTGAATATGCACAGCTGCAGTTAGCAAAGCTTATCTCAAAAGGTTTTGTTCTCTTCTTCTAGCTCAAGGAAGATTTTTTAACTTCATGCTCTTCTGACCCTTTCTGGGCTTCAAGATGGTCTTTTTTGTCCTTGTTTCTTCCCATGTCATTTGTCTTTAATCTCCCTACACTCCCCATATATCCACAGTCCGATTCCAGGGGGATATTACATTTCTTTTACTAAGAGTTTGCTATGGCTTTCTGAATTGATAAATGAAAAACAGCCAACACTTACCAAAAAAGTCCTATTTTATTTTACTTATTAAAATGGCTTCTCATGTAACACAGTTTGCACAAACTGAGGATAATAGATTAACACCAGTATTTTGAAGTAACTATAAGTAATACTACATTGAATGTAAGTGCCTAACTGAAATGTTGTTTTTTGAAACTTAATCACAACTCCTCTGAAAGTGTAGATGGCTCTGAAGAGAATCATTAGTTTCTAGTATAATTATTTCCCAGTTAATTGAGGGGTGTTACCCAGCAGGTGTTACTTGCACCTAATTTTATTTTCCTTCTTCCGGTGCAGAATCCTTTTAATATCTTTTTAAAAGAGTTGCATAATAGTCCAGAATAGTATTAAACAGTGATAAGTCCTCCAACAATAACTACTAGTATTCCTCTAAGAAACAAAAACTGTCCAACTGAACATACTAGCAAATGATTTTTACACATCTCCTGAGTTTAACATAAGATTTCCTTTTTCCTTTAACTTTATAAAGTGAATTAAATTTGCTTTTACTCACTATTCAAACAACCTTACATTCTTTGATACATCGCGGTTTGTCATTGTCTGGTAAGTTTTTAATGGGCTGCCAGAGTGAGTATTTTGTATTTAATGCAAGATTTATGGATTATTAAAACCTACATTGCACTGCACTTAGTAGCATGCTATCTTCATTAGATATTATATTTCTTTAAAAATATGAGACTTTTCATAATTTGGAGCCATTTCCTTAGCTATCAATTTATTTTTTCCTTAAATGTCTGAAAGAATACATGCTCAGAAGCCTGATTTTTGAGGATGGTAGCTCATTGATGATCTCATTTTCTTTTCCATTTGTCATAATCCTCACTGCTTTCTAGGTTCAAGTCAAGCAATTTTTATTTTTTTCAGAAACTCACATTTCATTGGTATTTTTAAATATGTTAACATAGAATTTTTAAAACATCCTTGTAATTTTAAAATACTCCAATTCTGTAGGTTTAGGTATAATTTTATGGAGAAAAGTATTGTTAAAATAATTTTTAACTTTTCAAGTGGTTAGCGAGTTTTTGTGCACATTTTTGTTTTGCATTGTGTTGGGAGAATTTTGATGGATTCATTTTTGTACAAGAATTTGGTATTTGGCTGCTTTTCTGTTTTTGTGTTGTTTTATATGCAGTGCCAAAGGATCAACAAAACACTGCTTCATTTTCAGTGGTTAAACCTCTTGAAGACATCAGTTTAATATTTCTGAATAATTGATAGAAAGCTGCATTGTGAAATTACTCTCTTATCCTCAAAATTGTATTAGGCCTATTTGAGATATAACCTACGCTGTTAAATAAATCTATCATTCATTTTTGCTGTTTTTCACATAGAGATATCAGATATTTGTATGTGCTTTTCATCTTTTGGCTTATTAACATGTAATGGGTTGCAGATTTCAAAACTTGGAACCATCCTGGAATTTTTGCAAGGAAATCCCTTGCTAGAAGGCACTTGACAAAGTACGCAGCCTAGATGCATGTTATTTGCTGGCTGCTTGGCTGACACCCCCTGGGCCTGCTCTCCAAACAGGGTTGATCGGAGAGCTGCAAGTTTACAAGTCTCCTTTCTAATCCGTTTATTTCATCTAACTCTATCCTCATTTACAAAAACCAATCCTAGTGTTACCACTCCGTAATTTGTGTAGCAGGTTTCTCCGGTCTTCACTGAAAGACACCCCTGCACCGGACCCCCACAGAAGAAAAAAAAAATACTTAATAGGACTTAGCATCTCAATGGTGTCCCAACACTCCTAGGTTTACTGCCTTTGCCAAGGAGAATGACATTTCCGCCGCCAGGAGCCCGCTAGGATGGCTGCTCTACGTGCTTAGAGAGTTACAACTTCCACCAAAGATGATGAGTTCCGTTATCGGAAAGTGCTTCAGAGGCTTTAGTCACCAGAACTAGATTGTCAGAGTCCTGTCACCAGAACTAGATTGTCGGAGTCCTGTTACAGTGTTAGGTAAGTTAAATTCTTTGTTGCTGGTGAATCAAGTCCTGGTTTTTGTTATCTTTTCACAAATTTAAGCTCTTTCTCAGATACTATAAGTGGCTCTGAAAAGAGCCTTTGGTTTCAATCTGGGGTGTCTTTTCTCTCCCCTCCCCACATTCAGATCTCGCGCTAGGCGTTACAATTTATGGGATGTTACTTGCACTGGACTTTGTGGTGATGGCTCTCAGTCTTCTTGGGCAGCAGTACGGCCTGGATGTTGGGCAAGACGCCGCCCTGAGCGATGGTCACACCACCTAGTAGCTTGTTGAGTTCTTCGTCATTACGGATGGCCAGCTGCAGGTGGCGCGGAATGATGCGCGTCTTCTTGTTGTCGCGGGCCGCGTTGCCCGCCAGCTCCAGGATCTCGGCCGTCAGGTACTCCAGCACCGCCGCCAGGTACACCGGCGTGCCTGCCCCAATGCGTTCTGCGTAGTTGCCCTTGCGGAGCAAGCGGTGGACTCGGCCCACGGGGAACTGTAGGCCAGCTCGGAAAGAACGAGACTTCGCTTTCGCCCGTGTTTTGCCCCCTTGCTTTCCACGCCCGGACATAGTTAAAAGAAAAAGTCACTTATAACGGAAAGAGTTATCGTTATGACCGGTACGGGTGGTATTTATAGTCTGACGGTAGGTGGTGATTTGCTATGTGATTGGCTGATAGCCTTGTATCCAATCAGAGAACCCTACTGGACTCACCTTATTTACATACACACCCCTACCCATCAGCCAATCAGATCTTGGCTACTCAACAGTCATCTGAGGCCGCGCCTATAAATATCACACTTGCGTATCTTTTCAGTATTTTGCTGTGTAGAGGTTGCACAGTAGTTATGCCGGAGGGGACTTCAAAGGGCACTACTGCTTCAAAAAAAGGCTTTAAGAATAAAGCCATGGTTAAAACTCAGGAGAAAGAAAGGAAGAAGCGCAAAAGATGCCGGAAAGAGAGCTACTCTATTTACATCTACAAGGTGTTGAAGCAGGTCTACCCTGACACTGGTATTTCTTCGCAAGCCATGAGTATCGTAAACTCTTTCGTTAACGACATCTTCGAGCGCATCGCGGGCGAGGCGTCGCGCCTGGCGCGTTACAACAAGCGCTTGACCATCACGTCCAGAGAGATCCAGACGGCCGTGCGCCTGCTGCTGCCCGGGGAGCTGGCCAAGCACGCCGTGTCCGAGGGCACCAAGGCCGTCACCAAGTATACCAGCTCCAAGTAAAACGCTCACGAACAGGCAAGTTGTATAACCCAAAGGTTCTTTTAAGAGCCACCTACACGTTCTAAAGGGCTGTAGGCTCTTAAATGTGCCAGTACGCTTTATCACTGGAGTAAGAAATTACTGGTTTAGCTAGTAAATGTGCTTATTGGTCTATTCGGTAAGTGCGCTTCACTCACACCATTTGGTATGGTTAAAAATAGAACACATAATTTCTCAAAAAAGTAGTCAAGTTGTCTATTAGTTCTAACTAGGGTTGGTGATGCATCTGCAGCATTTTCGTTAAAACCTCAGAAGAGCTCATAAATAATGCAATTGAAAGGGAAGCCCTGTAAATAGAAGTACGTTCTGTCGTTCTATCCTATGAGAGCGAAAAGGGCCTGGAGCTGTGGAAAGTCTGAGACCTTAGGGAAGTCTATCATGGGAGCATTAATTAGAGCTGTTTTGCTTCCTTTTTACACTAAGGTTTGAGACCCAAAGACCAGCGTTTCATCTGCATATTTATTGGAGTCTCTAAACCGGGTCACTGAGAACAGGTTGACGGAGTGTGGAGACCTAACCATGGCAAGTAATTCATATTGGAACCCAACAACCTAGGTGATCACAATGGGCTGGCAAACAGGAGTAACATTAACTGAATTTCCCCTTGTTTTGCATTATTTTTTTTAAGAAGGATCAATTGCTTTTTGTTGTGTGATGGGATCGTAAAATTGGTGTTTGTGTCCTGTATTACTGGACTCAAATACTGAGTCCAAATTGGGTCATGGGGTATTCATCAAAATAGGACGCCCAATATTGAAGTCAGGGGATTTTGGGTACAAAATCTACTCCGTCATCATCTGGACTCAGCATAGAAGCCTTAAAAAAAAAAATTAATGATTGAAATCAACATAAAAAAGAAGAAATCAAATTATCAGTACTTCCCAGAAAGCTTTGGTTTAGCTGGAAGCCTCAATTTCTTTATATTTTTTATTCAGTCCTTTTTTTTTTAAGGTTTAGTGTATATATGTCATCTTTATAGTAAAAAACAGAAATCTTTTGAATAAATATACAGTAAAAGTCCATAGAAAAAAAGTGCTCCACACTTCGTACACAGTGAGACACTCCTGCAGAAACTGAATGCCTTAGCTGGGAGGCCTCCAAGGAGCTGAGAGATGGGGCATCTGCGCCACATTGCATGGGAGGGGAGCATAATCACCAATCAGGGATCCCAGCTACCCTGGTAAACCTTGAGAAACAGCAGATACCTGCATAGCTCCCAAATTCTTGTCAGCTCTGGAGTGGATAAATATGTAGGTTTTGTAGGCTGGTTCTTTCCTGCAGCAGCATGTATTTAAGGTTCATCCATTTTGTCATGTAGATTAATATCTTCTTCCTTTTTATGTTCCTTGAATAATATTCTGTTGTCTGGATATACCAGTTTGTCTATCCATTCACCTATCGAAGAGATCTTGGTTGCTGCCATTTTTTAGCCATTATAAGTCAAGTTGTTAGAAATATTTGTGTGCAGATTTTTGCGTGGACACAGGTTTTCAAATTAGTTGAGTAAATATCACTAGGAGCATGGTTGCTGGCTCGTGTGTTTAGCTTTATAAGGAACTGCCAAACTGTCTGCCAAAGTGGCTGTGCCATTCAGCATTCCCACTGGCAATGAATGAAAATTCTTGTTGCCCTTACCAGCATTTGGTAATGTTGTGTTTTGGATTTTAGCCATTCTAATAGGTGTGTAATATCTCATTGTTTAATTTGCATTTGCTTAATAACAAGGATGTGGAGGATCTTTTGATATGCTTATTTGCCATCTGTATTTCTTTTTGGTGAGGTGTCTATCTCTTGCCCATTCTTTAATTGGGCTTATTTTCGTATTGTTGAGTTGCAAGTATTTTTTTATGTGTTGCGGATACAAGTCCTTTATCAGATACATGATTTGCCAATGTTTTTTCCATCTGTGGTCTCTTAACAATGTCTTTAGCAGAGCATAGGTTTCAAATTTCAAAAATGTCCAATAGAAATATAATGTGAGCCACAAGTATTGGTCACATATGTAACTTTAAACTTTCCAGTAGCCACGTTTAAAGTAGAAAAACGAAATAGGTGAAATTAATTTTGATCAAATATTTTGTTTAATCCAAGATATCAAACATGTTATAACTTCAATATGTAATAAAAATAAAAATCATGATAATCTACATTTTTTTAATTAGGTCTTTGAAATCTAATGTGTATTTTGCACTAGCAGCATGTCTCAGTTCAGATTTGCAATGTTTCAAGTGCTCAATAACCACATGTGGCCAGTGGCTGCCATATTGGATGCTGTAGCACTAAACTCTCTAGGCAGCCTGAACCACACCCCTTGCTCTAAATACCTATAGCAGATGACTCACAAATTTGTATCTGCCATTCAGGGCTCTCCATGAACTCCAGACTAGTAACTTCAACTGCTTACTCTGATGTTGCTCAGCCACCTCAAAATTCTCTCCACAAGGGTTTCCAATTTATCCTGACAGAAGTGTTTTCAAACTCCAAGTTTCCCTGTATCACCAAGCCAGAAATGTGGTATTTTTCCCTGGACAGTCCTTCTGTTCAATCTTTACTTCAGTCTATCTACAAAATACATCAATTTTATTTGCTCCATATTTTTGTTATCTATTTTTTGCCATCTTTACTGCCACCATTTTTGTCCAAACCCCCGTCGTCTCTCACCTGGATTACTGTCCCTAACTAGTCTCACTGCTCATAATCTTGTCTCTACCCAATTGACAAAGTCATCTTAGATGAGAAAAATATTTTTATTTTCGCTAACCATGAACTGAAATTTAGCATTCCTTTCAATTACCAATATAGCAAATAGACCAGTCATATTAGCCATACCTGTGACTTTGTTGCCAATGGAAACCACAGCTATGTTCCTAGGATTTAAGCATTGTTATAGATCTCTCAAAATTTATGCTTATCCCAACCTCAAAAGATTATAATTTTGATCTTGCTGTTTGAAGCACAAATATTTTTTAAAATGTTTAATATGGTAATATTTTGAAAACGATTTAAATCTGGCATTCATTATTAAAATTCACATTTTATTGTATGTATTTAGAAATTTAAGAAGATGTATATAGCATCAAATAGACTTCCAAAGAAATCCATAGTATGATTAAAGTTAATCCCTGTTTAAGGATTCTAACAAACATCTTACATATAAAGTAGACTGGAGACAGATGATGTAAAAATCAGATGGCAGAATTCCATTAATAATCCAGTTGGGATCAGATGACTGAATCTTCCTTAGCTGTTAGTTAGATTGAGTCTTTCAGCAATGATGCCAATTCCCTGGCCACAGAATATTGGGGTTACTAGGGTATTCCACTCCATTCACGCACATGTATCTACTAGAAACACACATCTTGATCATCATTGCTTTTAATCAATGAAATAATTTCTCATAATATCTCTGCTATCAACTCTCTGGTGTGACTGGAGATAAAGAGCTGAAGAACTTGTAGTGGGTCAAATGAAAACTAACCTATTCTGGATAGTGAATTCCTTATTGGGAACTCCATGTATTAGTTTCCTAGGTCTGCTGCAACAAGTTACCACAAACTGGGTGGCTTACAACAACAGAAGTATATTCTCACTGTTTTGGAGGCCGGTAGTCCAAAATCAAAGTGTCAGCAGGATTGGTTCTTTGTAGAGGTTGTGAGGGAGCATCTGTTCCGTGTCTCTCTCCTGGCTGCTGGTGGTGGTTGGCAATCTTTGGTGTTCCTTAGCTTGCAATTATATCATTCCAGTGTCTGCCTTGGTTATCATATGGCCCTGTTCTCTGCTTCTCTTTGTCTGTGATGTCTGTCTCCTTTCTCTTACAAGGATACCCTAAATCCGGGATGATCTCATCTCAAGATTGTTAATTACATCTTAATTACGCTCTTATTTCCAAACAAGGGTCACATTCATAGGTACCGGGGGTTAGGACACAATTGAACCCACTACACATCACACATTAACATGTGACTCCCTAAGGTTTAGTTTAACATTGATTCACACAAAATTTACATCACACTATCTGGGCTGAAGCATTTTAGAGTAAATTACAGACAATGCAAAGCCCTCCTTGGGCACCTAATTATCTTCCTCATTCATAACTGACTGAAATGACTTGGTATGTTAGTTTATGTCTACCTCACTATACTAGAAAGGAAACACAATGAGAGTAAAGACTTACTCTCTCTTTTTTTCTTACACACACATACACACATTCATTCAATGAGCGAATGTTTGAATTGTGGAGAAGAGGGAAACAGTTTTTGAAAACTTTTTTGGAAAACAAATTAAGGAGAAATAACAAAATGCAGTCACTTGTCTATGACCAGCTCTACACTAGAGAGCTAGCTAACAATGTCTGCCTGCCAGAACAGTGCAGGTGAAGGCTTAAGCTGGTCTGGCTGCCTCTGGCCCTGCTCCCTGGAGGGTTTCCCTTACCCTGTAGGCCTCATGGTCTCACCTAAGATGAGAATAAGAAGTTTCTCTTTTGAGGGCTGCACCAGCAGAGCTATTTCTCCTTTTCTGGATTCAGAGGCATCTTGGTAGCGTCAGGGTAATTACAGCATCTGGGTTTGTAGGCAGGCCGAGGTGCTCTGCCCTTTTTCCAGCCCTCATCCTACTGGCGCTCATTATTTCTGTGTTCTGTGGCACAACAAAACCACAGCCTAGAATCAGACAGAGATGGCCAATATTTCCCTTGCTTCCAGGGCAAATCCCAATGGGTAGTCACTGCAGTGATTTTAGAGTGGAGTGAACAGCTAGAGGTACTTACGGAGGGTAGCGCTTAAAGGCCAGTTCCCAAATCAAACCTTACTGTATTTAAAGCAGAGCCCTAACTTTGCTATGGCCATTTCCTCAGAAAATTCTGTCTTGCCAATCTTGTATTACTCAGGGATTGAGATGTGGGCAGCAGGCAGACAGCATCTTTCTTAAAACAAACTTCGAAAAAAACCTGTGCTTTCTCTGCTTTCATATGAATTGTATTGGAGTAAAGCTTTATTCATTTGACATTACTAAAGTCTTCAGAGGTCGTAAACCCAGTTCAACCTCCTGTGTTTGTTCCACCAAATTGCCTAAAGCTGGATCCTTGGGGTGCATCTCTGATCTAAGGAAAGACAGTTTAACCAGCTGCTTTGTTTTTCTATAATAAGAATTTCCAGGTTCCTAATGGGGAGTGAAGGCTTCTGCTTCTCGCAGCATCTCCTTCATATTAATGAAAATTCAGAATATTTACAGAACCTGTGGGAATACGCTGAAGCATGGCATAGAGGAAAAATGATAGATTTAAATGCTTACATTAATAAATTACAAAGTCTCAATACAGGCCGTCAGTCTTCAGGTAGTATGAAATCTTAAAATGACTATGCAAGGCAATCTTAATAATCAATGGGAAAAATCATGATTGTTCCATGATCTTTAAAAATTTTTGTCAAAACTTAAAAACTTCATTATTGTCTGTTATAAATATAGAGAGATATGAAAAAATATTAATATCTATTTAGGACAGTGCAATTTAAAGTATTGAAACAGTGAGAATTGAAGGTGTCATTTCTTTTTCAAAAACTTATCAAGAATAGTAGTTTAAGGTGTTTGCCTTCTCATCATATAACTTATGATACAGAGTCAGCATCTTTTCTATGCCTTGATGAATTGTCATGTTTCTTTCTAAATTTGGATCAGCTTCTAACAATTTATCCTTTGCATTTTCAACGTCGTGAAGTATCTCTGAGAATTCCTTTAATATGAAATGTTTTATCAGAGTCACTTTCTCTGGAACATTTTCATCCTTTTCGTCATGACTGTTTTCTACATTTATGTGTTTGCCTTCACTGAGTTCCTCTGGTTGCATAGCTAGAGTCTCCTTGATAGCGACAGTATCAACATTCCCATGGTCAGCTATTTGTTCTATAACTCCACTTATGTTCAATTTTAATTTCATTTCCAGGGTTATTACTTTTCTTTTTTTTGCTGCACTTTCATCTTATTGGCCAAATCCCTCTTTTGATTATCCATTTTTGTTATGTAAGTTTATCACTGGGAGACAAGGAAGCAACTAAACTACTTGCTTTCCTGTTGTGCATAAACTGAAAAACGTGTGCAGTGACCAGTTACCAACAAATTTTAAAATAAGTGACGTGATAGGTCACTGATCACGATGTGCATCTGTCATTTGTGCAGTGACTTCTGAACTGAAGAGCCAGCAGTGAAGTTTGTATTTATGCAATTACCATTAATGAAATCTGAACTATTTTGTTGGGCAATTGGTGTTATTTAACTAAACTGTGGTAACTGAAACTCATTTATATCAAAACCATGCAATGTGAGGACTGTTTCTATAAATCAAGCACTCCACTAAAGAAGCCAGGAAAAATGAAAACAAAGTGAACCAGTGGAATCAGAAAGGTTAAATTTAAAAAGTAGAAAAAAAAAATTAAGAAAAAGAAAAACAGTAAAACTAATAAATGTAAAAGTAAGTAGCAAATAAATATTTATTATTAAAGATAAAAGATTAACCAATAACGTGGTTTGTGAATAGTGACAAAATACAAATACAAAATTAAGGATAATAAAGGAGTGGTAGTTACAAACACAGTGGAGATAAAAATCATTAGAAACCAATTTGCTTATCTTTAAATAACTTTCTTGAAAAATTTAATTTACCAAAACTTATTACAAATTATTAGCAAATCTAAGCAGAATAATTTCATAAAAAAAAAAATTGTCAAAGAACTGTCACTTGAGAAAAAGCCCCAAGTATAAATTGTTTTAAAAAGGAATTTTACCCAAATGTTAAAGAAAAGGGACTTCTAATGCTGTTCAAATAGTTCTAGAGTCTTAAAAGGACAGCAACCCTCCATATTATTTTTATGAATTAAATAAAAATTTGTACCAAAAGCTGAACATCACTGCATACAAAAAAAAAGGAAAATAGAGATTAATTCATAATATTAAAGCATAGATTGTAAATGGTATATTGGCAACCAAAATTCAGCAGAACATTAAATTAATAACATATGATGCCCCAGCAGGGGTATATAGCAGAAATGCAAGGATTACACAATATTAGGAAGTTTATTAAAATAACTCATCATAATATTTAAAAAGAAAAGGTCTATGATAATTCTCCTAAGATAATTCTTCAGGGATGCTGAAAAGGCATTTTATAAAATTCAACATCCATTCTTGACTCACAGCTGTCAATAAAGTGGACACAGAAGAATTCTTCATTATAACAAAATATATCTAATGAGGAATAGTGCAGAAGATTCTTCAGCAAAGTGAGGGATAAAACAAGAAGGCCTCTCTTCACTGCTATTTAATATCATTATAAAAGCATGAGCCACTCAGATCAGACAGGAGAAAGAAATTAGAACTGAACTAATTAAAAGGAAGCAGTAAAATGTTTACTATTTTCAGATAATATTGCAAAAATGTAAAACCCAACAGAATTTACCAAAAAGCCAATATGAAAATATCAATTCAGGAAGGTATAATAGAATGTAAAAATAATGTACAGAAATCAGTGCTTTCATGTGAAACAATAAAATGCTGGAAGATATGAATAGGGAAATACACCATTTACAATAATGAAACAAAATACCTAGAACTACATTTAATAAAAAGTATGCCAAATTTATATGAAGGAAACTGATTGGTCCATACCAGTCACATGGTCCCTTTCCCTGTAGGTGAATGGCTCAGGCAGCACCTGGGACTAGGCTCAGGTTTAGAAAAGGGATGTCAGAGGAAGTCCTCTGGGAAGGCTTTCCTTGCTGTCAATTAGATATCCATTGAAACAGACTGTCTTTTCCTGCCTTTATTTTGTCCTGTCTGCATGAACACTTGAAACTGTGATCAGCATGAGGTTTGTAAAGTCAGGGTGTGGAGAAGAACAGAGGCAATGAAATGCAGGTCAGTGGAGCCAGGGCTCTGATCATCCCACTCCTGGAATTTCTCTGCCTTTGGGCGTGCTGATTAGTGATACTACATCAGTTAGTGCAGTTGGTACTTACTATGATTTGCAGCCAAAATATATCTTATGTAAAAGTTGTATCATGTTTGATCTAAAGAAAGATTTTTTTTTTTTTTTTTTTTACTAGCATTACTAGTTTCCTTTTGTCCTAATGATCCTGAGAGTCCTTGGGCAATCACAGTAGCCTGTAGAGACTGGTCACAAAGTTGACAGGGATTTGGGAGCTGTGTGCTATCTGCTGTTTCTCAGGGTCTTACTGGGGCAGCTGGGACTGCTGATTAGAGATGCTGCTGCTCTCAATTCAGTGTGACTACAGATGCTCCATCTGTCAGCTCCTTGGAGGACTCCCAGCTCTAAAGCATGCAAGGCTCTCTGTGCAGATGTGTGGGGCACTTTTTATGGAATTTTACTGCACATTCAGATATTGTATCAAGTGATACTGAACTTCTTTAATGCAAAGAAAACGTACATTCTAAGTCATAAAGGTAAAAATAAAAAACGTAAGTTAACCGTCAAATTGAGGATTCCAGTTAAACCAAGGTTACAATTTGGTCCTTTCTAAGGTCGTTCTGTTCAATGCACTATCACTGATTTTTTTAATGCTTGTGTGCTGAGATGAGTCACGATGACCCAGTAATACAGGACATAAACAATATTTTTAATGATCCATCATACAACAGAAAAGTAAATTATCATACCATAACTTGTAAGAAAATGACAAAAAGGAGATTCAGTTAAAGTCACGTTTTACCAGTCAATTGCTGGATTCCATTATGGAGTACCTTGGAGAGATGGCAATAGTTTCCACATTCCAATATCGCCATGCTCTCAAATATACAGCAAGATATCATCAGGCTGAAAAACTCTGAGCTTAACCTCAAATCCCTGCAGTTTGAGGGCATCTAACCTGCTATATAGGACCAACTTTCTTACGCTCTGCAGTGTACACTTGAAAAAAATTAGCCCTAAATCTCCCTGAGCTACACTTTTCCACCATCCCAAAACTTTTACACAGCTTGTTTTGTTGCCTGACGGAAGACCGTGAATAGAGAAAAAAAAGTAGCCTACTACAGCTCTCACAGGTGCTGTTAGTCGCACAAGTCACACATCCACGTTGAAAAACTCACACCGTTTCTTCGAGAGCTCTCTTGGAATTGCTCGTGTTGTAATTTTCACATCCTGGGGGCTCCCGCAAAAAGTGCTGATAACCTCCTGGAAGCCTAACGTGTAACTTAAGACGCACTGGAGGCAGTGTTTACGGTTAGTTACGTTCTGAACTGCATTCCACACACACCTTACATGTTTTTAGTAAGTTTAAGTTTGTATGTTTTATCACTAAGACAACTAGTTATCTGGACCATGATTACAAACCTAAGGCGTGTTAAGAGTACTCACCCTGCCTACCCTAGAAATTTCACTTAAGTTGAAAAATAAGTGAACAACCCTTCTGTGGCAAAGTTAAGTGGCTCTGAAAAGAGCCTTTGGGTTCAACATACAAAACGCTTACTTCGAAAGTTTACTTTGAGCTGGTATACTTCGTGACAGCCTTAGTGCCCTCAGACACCGCATGCTTGGCCAACTCCCCTGGTAGAAGCAGGCGCACAGCCGTCTGGATCTCTCTGGAAGTAATGGTTGAGTGCTTGTTATAGTGTGCTAAGCGCGACGCCTCCCCTGCGATCCGTTCGAAGATATCGGTAACGAAAGAATTCATGATGCTCATAGCCTTTGAAGAGATACCAGTGTCGGGATGAACTTGCTTCAACACCTTGTAAATGTAAATGGAATAACTCTCTTTCCGGCATCTCTTGCGCTTTTTTCCTTCTTTCTTCTGAGTTTTAGTTACAGCCTTCTTGAAACCTTTCTTAGAAATAGTCGTACCCTTAGAAGACAACTCCGGCATGGTTAGTGCACAGCTTTACAGTGTTACAACTGCCAGCTACAATCCTAACCACCACAGTGTACGCTGAAATAAGCGAACAACACTTAGAGGCGCGGGAAGAGTGGTATTTATAGGCGCGGCACTCCAGTGACGTGTGGAGGAGCCAGTATCTGATTGGATAGTGGGTGGTGGCGTGTATGTAAATGAGGTGACTCCAGTAAGGCTTTCTGATTGGGTAGGCTTCTGGCCATTAGCCAATCAGAGAGGAGAGCACAACCTACCGTCAGACTATAAATAGGTCCAGTAGAGCAGCTTATGAGGTGTGTTTTATAGTCGGTGGTACCAGTACGTCTGGGGGTGGGAAAGCTCATGTGACAGGGCAAGTTTTGTTCGTGTAGTGCAGGCTTGGGATTCCCAGTAGGCTGAATCCAGTGTTTGTTTCGCGAGGATAACTACGTTGAGCGCATTGGAGCTGGTGCGCCCATTTACTTAACGGCCGTGTTAGAAGATTTGGCGGCTGAGGTCTTAAAACCAGCAGGTAACGCTTTTCGGGGTGATAAAGAAAACGCGTATCATTCCACGTCATATGTAGTTGGCCATCATGAGGGGGTGAGCAAGCTGCTGGGTGGTGTTCTACCCAACACTCAAGCTGTACTAGTGTCGAAGAAGACAGAAAGCCACCACCCCGAAATACAAAGCGAGTAAATTCCAAGTGCTGGTTTCAGGCTACCTAAACGCGTGGTAAAGACAAAAAACAAAGGCTCTTTTCAGAGCCGCTTAACATTTGTCGGTTAAGAGTACGTAGACGGCAGAGAAGTAGTAATTGTGTAGTTGTCTACCAAGAGACTGCAGAAAGCATGTTAACGGATTAAGTTGTAGCAGTCTAGAAAACGAGACTGCTACAATGACTGAGATACCTTGAGCTTGTTTCTTACGACTGAATTGGAAGAACTAGTGTGGGGCTTCTCATGTTAACTATCGGGGATTGGTTTTAATATCTAGAAATAGTCATCAGTAACTGGTGGCGACAGCTTAGTAAACTCACTGCGTAAGTACTGTGGAAAGGGAACAAAACAAGCGGAAGAGCTGGGTAGTTCTTGAGTTCGTGAGAATGTGGGAGTGTCAACGTTTTAAGGCTTATGTTTTTAGTTAAACCATGTGTAAGTAATAATTGGATTAGGCTAGATAGGTGAAACTTCAGCTGCTAGTTTAAAGTTGTCCTGTAAGGTATCAGTTAATCTGGCAAAGCTATGTGATTCTCTACAAGTACTTTTTGGGAAGGGGTTTTGTTTCAGACACGCTAGTATGGTTCAGGATCAGGGAGTTCTTAGACATATAAGTAAACGAAGTAAATTAATAGTGAAATACAGTAAAGAGGCATGGCATACATAAATATATCTGTGGCTTCACACTTAGCAGAAGTGGTTCAGTAAACGTAAAACAAGATATGTTTTCAGGGTTGATGATGTGTGATGGAGAGATACTAGTGTCTTTCAGGCAGGAATGTGTGACAAGAAGTTATGCCAAAATAAGTTGAAATTACTTAGGGCATTTTGATCAAATATTTAAAAATAATTAACTCCTAAAAAAAGTTTTAGTTGATCTCTTTGTACTGTAAACACCAAGACAAATTGGGAAGCAGATGAACCTTTAATGGGGTTCAGTCACCTATACTGGGTTTTAGTCTGGATGGTCTCTAACGTATTACTCAAGGCTGTGTCATTGAAGTGACTTCTAGTAAAGGAACAGTGGGTAGAACTTATATTCCAAGGACAGTGGAGGGGGTCAGGGGCCTTTGTTCACCTGGGTTCTGTTCACAGGTCAGCCAGAAGTCACTTTCTCCCAAGGACCTCCTCCAACACTTCACGCCCTGTGACTGGCTGTTGCTACCTTACGTGTTTCCTGTCTTCTGCAACGTGCCTCGAGTGACCAGCAAGGGGTTTGATTAGCATGGAGGTGGCTCATTTGGCAGCTGACTGCACTGGAGGCAGATACTAGAGCAACGATAAGGCACGTTCAAGAGAACAGGTTAAGATAATGATTCCTAAAATAACATTTTTTTGCACCAAGAGCCCCATGATCCAAACCACTGATTTGTTAAGTCTCGTTGGCTGGGGGTCAGATCTCTCAGTTCCCTTATGTCTTCCTGTGATTTAATAAAGATGATACATTAGCAAGTGTGAACACAACATTTTGCTTGGATAATGGCGCAGATGCCTCCTTGCCAGGCAGTAATAATGTCCAAGGCTATCCTATTCTGGAGGACAGTTTTTCTCATCGGAGATATTTCAGCGCTCAGTAAGGACAGGCTTCATCAGCTATCCTTGAAGGCTTGTTAGGTGAATTTAGTAAGGGATTCTATGTGTACTGTAATGTCCTCCAGGCCAATGGAGGGAACGGAGATGGAGGCCAAAAGATCATACAGTGGAAAACAGAACTTGCCCACCTGGCCTTTAGCAGAGGGAGGTTGGCAACTTTTGTTTTTTGTTACCATAGGATGAATTCTCCCTTGTGCCCAGGGAAAACCACCCATATGGAAGACATGGCCGAAGATTTTGTGCCACACAACCACTGGATTGCGGTTGGGGAAACAAATACTTGGGCAGCACAACCAGTCAGCGTTGTTATCGTTTAATGTGACAGAATGAGTACACAGTTCTGGAGTTGTCTATCTCATAACTCTGGTACAATTGGATTGGTTCTGTTTACAGTGATTTTTTCTGTTCTCAATGTAGGGGTGCTTGAGTGCTCAAATGTCCATAACTTGGGGTAAGCCACATGAACCTATCCCAAATCTGAGCGTAGCCACCCATGGCTCTGACGATGGTGTTTCTGGACTCTTCTGGTCAGCAGTTTGACAGGCTGACTGGGTATTTTGATTGACAGAGAAAGAATACCCATGCCCAGTGTTATTGATGGTGTGTGTCCAAGCGAGGGTTCTGGATCGATATTACTAACATCAGATGAGTTAAGAGTATTAGTCCTAGCTACTACTTCCTTAATGTACTGCTTTAGGGCCTTCCAGTCCACTCCCTGGACTGGGATACCCACTGTGGCAATCTAGATGAGCTAGAGAGGGGCAGCTGCCTGCATGAGCAACAGTTGGATTGATTTCTTTGCCAGGCATACAAGTGGGCCCACTGTAGAAAGATATTTCTATGAGGTGCCCATTCTGTGACCACACCCCAGAGGGGCAGCAGAATTATAAGGTCAAAAAGACAGATATTTAGTAAAAACTTGTATGAGAAGATATTCTCTTCCTGTAAGAATTACACTTGTGGCCTGCTCCTTAGATATTAATGTGACTGCAACTTTAGGAACTTGACCTGGTTATGCATACCATACATATCGGCTAAGGGAGTCAGCACTGTAAGGCATGAGGAGATGGACTGGGGGCAGGATGTGCCAGACCAGGATCCCCACCTTCTCCCCTCTTTCAATGGTGCATGTTCCATTCCAGGTATAGTGTGTTTTAATGGATCCAGCTTGCACCAGGACAACAGGAGCCCAGTGGACATTGAGTAGTTCTTAATCCAGAGGTGTGAAGTAGTTCACACATCCTGATGGGACATCCCATGGCAAATTCCGGTAGATAATTCCCTTCCCAGGTGCAATGGGGCTTGGTGTTCTCAGCAGCATAGTACATTGATCCACTGTGAGAGTTAGGGCAATGGCTGTTTGCCAAGACTTGCATACTTTTACAGTATTGGGTGTCTCAGCAGGGGTCCCTAGTCTGGCATATGGGGCAACAGGTCCTACTGGTTGATCATTCAAGTGTATTACAGCCTGGGATAATACGTTAGTCCATCTGGCCAAGGTGGTTTTACTTGTTAGTGATTTAATCTGCTGCTTTAATGTTCTATTTTTCTACCAACGTAGCTGCTGTGGGTTATAGGGGAGATGGAACCCTCCATTCAATGTCACATTCTTTTGCCCAGTCTTGCACATCATGACATTTAAAATATGACCCCAGATCATTGTCGGTTCAATGAGGGTATCCGTACATGGTACTCAGCTTCTCTAATGCCCTAATGGTGGCAGCCTGGTTTGCACAGTGATGGGGAAAGCTTGAGTTAAGCCAGATGTAGTGTCCATACAAGTCAAGGCATATTTAGAACCCTCACCCAGAGAAAGGGAGCCAATATCATCAAGTTGCCAATCTGACACCGGTTGGGAACTCCAGTGGGTGGATCCAGACTTCTTTGGCAGTTGCCTTGGGCATTGTTTAGAACACACAAGACGTTCTGTTATTGCATTAACCAAGTCAGTGTATTTCAAGGGCAGTCTGGCATCCTTGGCAATATGCCATCGCACCCGGGCACTCTTCTTATGCACCCAATCTGCTGTGTCTACTGAAGGGTCAGTTGCTAGGGCATCAGCTTCCTGATCAGTAGGAGTTGTCAGCGCCTTGTAAGCCAGGAAGTGGAAGACAGTGAGGACTGCCCCAGGCTCTTGCAGGTAAACCCCAATGTCTTTCCACATATCCTGACCCCACAAGGGCTTATTCATGATCATCCACCCCCCGGCTTCCTGTTGTCCAAGCCATAGGATTAATCCCTTTCGAAAAGCCCAACTGTCAGTGCAAAGAGTTAACAGCCAGGGATCATGAGTGATCACCATCCAAACCTCTGTGAGTTCAGCCCACTGGCTGCTGTGGTTCACTCCTGTTGTGCTGAATAGCAACTGCAGTCTATGTGGATGGGTTGCCCCTACTAGACCCATCTGTATACCAGGCATTGGTGGGAATTTCCTGCAGTCTGTCCCTACAGGCGACAAGGGCCACCACAGGAATAGGGGTGGGGGCATTTGAAGGATCTATATATTCTACAAGGCCTACTAGCTCCCTCATTTCTGGAGACAGTGGACTGGTGGACAGAGTGCTCCTCTGCTGCAAATAAGCACGTCACTTAGTCAAAGTGGAAGCTGGAGCCATCGTAGGGGTGCGTCTATGGACATATTCTCAATCCACTCCTTGATAGGAAGGGAAGTTCTTACCACAATATGCTGTTCCTTCATGTGAG